CACAGAGCTGGAAGATGAACTCAATCTGAACTACGAGTGCTATCGCTACAGTTTTCAAGTTGATGACACAGAGAAGAGATGTGCCCAGTGGAAAACTCCACTCCTAATCTCTGAATCTCTCTCCGGATTGAAGCAATTACATATTGGCTCAAGAAAAATACCTGAAACAAAAAGAAAAAAGCTCTCTGAATCTGAAGTGGATAAAACCAGAGGAATGCAAATTTATATAAATTGATTAAGACCAAACCTTCCCAACTAGAGTTGAAACAGTGACGGCCAACACCCATGTGTCAAGTTGCAAATCCGGGATGAAAAAATGTCTTTTAAGTAGTGCCAAAAATGACATTGTTCCATGGTTGCTTTTACGTTTTCTTCAGTCGAGTAGGGGCAATACCTTTTAACAGTAAATAACATAACTGCACCTCTATGTTAGGGATATGTTCATCCAACTTTTTACAAATTGGTAAAGACTAATATATACGAACTTTGAATTTTATTTCGTGGTTGCTTTTGACTGTATGTCCTACTCATTAATTTAGGCACTTGAGGTGTTGGGATGGATTGCACGTGTCTCAGCAGAATCTCGTGACCTTGTCCTTAGTCATGGAGTGTTAATGCCCTTATTGGAACAATTTAATGATGAAACAAATCTAATCATCATAGAAAACGCAACGATCACACTGTCAAATCTTTGTATGAGAAAGCCTTGGTTCGAGCAGGTTTGTCTTCTAATTGGTTTTCTGTTCGGTTTTGATGCATATCAATAATGCTGGACCTTTATATATTTAACCAATTACTGAGCAGGTGAAATCTGCCATCCTACCTCTCGCTCATCTGATCCATACGGACGTTGAACTAGTCATTTGTAATGTATGCGAGGCACTATTCAATCTAACTTGTGGGGAAATGGATATGAAACAAGCTGTGATTGATGCTGGTGTTTTCCCTCGTTTGTTTGAGCTTTTACTGTCAGTGAAAAAATCCTACTTGATATAGTTCCTTTTTTAAAGTTTTTACTTTGCTTTTATTTATTGAACTTCATACCCGTGCTTATTTGGTTTAGTGGTTCGCAGATATCGTAAATCATATATTTCGTCTCCTGCCCCGCTCATTGTTGATAATATTATTTCATACGTAGATGATACCCAGATTCAGGTATCATCTGACTTTTGTCCTAATTAGTAAACTTCGTTTTGAGCACATTAATTTGTTATGTGATATGTTCACATTTTCAAATGTCTACTATATATATTTCACAACCAACTCTAGTTTGATTGTTTCATATAAAAGATGTATATGGTAGGCCATTTTGTCTTTTAATCATAATCATATATTACTCTTTTTGCTCTTGTGAAAGTTAGACACGTGCATCACACATGCCACATTTTACTGCAGTTTATTTTTTCAAAGGTTTGGATGGTTGAGTTAAAAATATTAGGGATCTATTTTCAATTTTTGCGAAAAAGTTAGGGACCCACTGCAATTTTCTTTAAAAGGTTGATGGGTGATAAGTAGTTTTAAGAACTCATAACAAAACAGCCCTTATAACTAAAACATGATTAACAGACATTGTGTCCGATGAAGCAGTTCCGATGATCATTCATAACAAAACTTGCTTCTGTTGAATGATTTCCAGGTTATCATTGATAATGGGTCTCTTCCTTGCCTGTGTAAATTTTTGACGAAGTCTGTGTCGAGGAGGCCACTTGTCATATCATTTCAAATATCATTGGACGGACTAAGGATTATATTCAGGTATGCAAATTACTACGGGTTTTTTTTTTTTTTTTGCCTTTGTGGTATTACTCTATGCATTCATAATTAATGCTTTGAGATAAATAAGTATCAATTATTGTTTAGAACATCGAGACTGATGATTTTTCTCTTGCCGTCCTTCAAATTTTTTTATTTTTTTTTTTCTCGTATTAGTAATTCTGTTTTGATGAATTTGACATTTGTTCTGTTTTTGTTTGTAATTTGAAGTCTTCCATTAAATCTGTTTATCTTATAAAATTAAGGATGCCGAAGAGGTGCCATCTAATACTATTGGAATTTAAGGATATGTACAAAGATTAAAATGCGCGAATTGGAAAAAAGTCTTCAATAAGTGCATCGATTGGGCGTGACTTTTCGAGTGAAAGAGTCACCAAATTCCACTTTCTTCAATTCAAATCAATTCCAAATAATTGATTTATAATTCTTTCCTTATCCAAATTATCTAAAAATAATTTTCTAATTAATTTTTGTGTTACGTGTTCAATATTTAGTATTCTATATCTTCCGTTCTTGAAGAGTATAATCAAGTGCTAAGTAGTCCGATAAATTAATATTGTACCATATTAATTTTAAAAGAAGCATTGTATCTTAGGAGACAAACGTCCATTTGATCCTATTAGCACCAGTGTAGGGGGCAAAATCCGTCTTAAGGAGATTTGTATTCGCATGTTTTGCTTTATTTCATCTCCTTCTAATTTTTGTATTTTCCTAAATGTCAAGTTTTACTTATTTTTCATGTACGTATTTTGATTTCGGTAAGTCAAAATATTATTCGATAATTTGGATGTCAATAACAACTTAAATCATGCACGTGAATATAATTATACACCAATTTATCGAACAATCTTAAGACAGATTTTCATGCTAATTTATATAGTGATGGTCAAAATCAGTTCACGTGGATGAAAAGTTTTAGTTTGTGTTTGCTTTTTGACTTTTTTCTTCGATTTCTTGGTAAACTAAAAGGTTAATGAAGCATCTGGATTCTAATTTTCTACTCGTTCTAGTTAAAGAGATGCATGCATTAGTAGTGAAATTTATTTACGCTTCTCTAATTACAGAATTTGAGAAGTGGCAAGGGCTTGTTGGGGGAATAAAGCATTGCCTGTTATATGTATTCTAACTTCCCTCTTTGAAATTTGGTGGCTAACCATTGTGTCTCCTTTTAAGAAGTGCAATTTCTTGAATTTCATTTATCAACCACAAAGACAAATCAAATGGCAGTAACCATTAGGAACTCACTGGTGAAACGTCACTAGGCTGATGGGTTTAGAGGAAGTGAATGTTGGTGATTTGGCTTATGTGGCATAATTTTAAAGGAGTTGTGCACACTATGTGATTTATTTCATATGTACCCTGAAGTTGTGGGATAGCATTTCTCCTCAGTATTGTGTGTTTTGCACATTTTTTGTCTCGATGAAAAGCACTTCGAAGTTTTAACTCCTTCCAATTTCTATGATGCAAATAAGTGTTGTCTACCAAATATTGGTTAGGATAATTCATGCTTTTAATGATGACTGTATCTTGTAAACAGTACAAGTGGTATTGTAGTGTACTCTTTATAGAACATCATCTATGTGAGTGTGAACTTCGCCAGTTCTATAAGAATTTTACTTGTGCAATTTCTCTAGCGCACTTGCAGAACCAAAAGGGTCCAGGGCTAAAATAATGAACACAATAGAGAATCAAAGTTTGATATGAGATATAATGTGTTCAATCTATTGTTTGGACTTACAATAATGGTTAAAACGTTGCATTTGCTTATTACCCAAGTGAGTTCGATAGATTTTTACTAAGGAAGATTCAAAGCAAAAGTTACTGATCCTAGTGTATTATATTTCAGTTGTACTCTTCTTCGTCTTTCTTGTTCTAAGTCGACTTCTTCCATTCATGTGAGGGATCATTGGAATTTAAGGGTAAATAAAAAGATTAAAATGTGTGATTTGAAAAAAAAAATAATCTCCAATAGGTGCATCGATTGGGTGCAACTCTTAAAGTGCCAAATATGCGTAACAAGGAGTAATGACCTTTGATAAAGGTAAGACCTAGAATATCAATCTTGAAATGGTGAGATTTAATGGTTAAAATAATTTGTGCCAAAAGATGCGACCATTCGAAGAATTACATGAAATCTATAAATTGGATCCTCTTAATTCAATTTCTTCAATCCGAATCTTATTCCAAATAATTAATTTCTAATTCTTTCCTTCTCCAAATTCTATCAAAATAATTTTCTAATTACTTTTTGAGTTTTAGAAGAGTATAATAACTTGTTGGTTCGTCCAATAAAATTAATATTATGCTATATTAATTTTGAAAGAAGCACTCTATTTTGAGAGACAGGCCTCCATTTGATCCTATTAGTACCAGCGTAGGAGGTGAAATCCGTGTTATGGAGATTTGCATTAATATACGTTATTTTATCTTCTTCTATTTTTTGCATTTTCTTAAATGTTAGTAAATTGTCATTTTAATTACTTTTCAAGCACCTATCTTGATTTCAGTGAGTCAAAATATTATTCGATAATTTGCATGTCAACAGCAAATAAAATCATGCATGTATTATAGTGATTGGAATATAATGCACCAATTTATCCAACAAATACACAGGCGGTGATTGAGGCTGGTATTATTTCACCTCTTCGCCTAATGCTTCAAGATGCTGATCTTTTTAATGATGCTGCTGAGGTTATCTATAATGTCACTACTAAGGGAACTAATGAGCAAATCAGGTAAATTCTTCATAGCTATTGTCATATTATCATAGCTTATTGTACATTTAGTTTGAGTATTAATGCTTCGACTTTGTGGTAGGTTCCTGGTGCACGAGGGTTGTATAGAGCCAATGTGCGATCTTCTAGTTAATCCCAACGAAGTGCATGTCATAAGAATCTGCTTGGAAGGCCTTGAGAACATTCTGAAGGTTGGAGAAGCTGAGAAGAACCAAGGTAACACCGAAGATGTGAATGTCTTTGCTCAGATGATTGTTGATGCTGGGGGCCAAGAGAAGATTAAGAACCTCCAGACTCATGACAACAGTGAAATATGCGAACAGGCCGGGAAGATACTTGAAACATATTGGTAGGAAGATGATGATGAGTAGCTGCCTTCTGGTGATTCTCCACAATCTGGGTGTATTTGTTGCATAGTAATTGGTCTTTTCCTTCGTATTCTGCCATAAATTTGAAGGCATGTTTGGTACACGCTAATGGATTGGAGCACACGACTCAATGGATAAGATTTTGAACCTTTTTTTAAAAACTAGTTTACGCACGTGCGATGCACGTGCTACATTTTAATTGGGTATTTAATAGCGTGGAGTGATTTGAAGGCATATTAGGCATAAATGAGAGTCACGGGCTTGTACACAATTGATTCCATGCAAGTGAAATAAACTATATGCTCAGAACCAAGCAGTTGAGAAACAAATTATAATAAAGACCTTCGTTGGATTAGGCCCACTTTCAGTCCAAGAAAACAAGGAACTTGACCAACCCATTCACAATCTTGTCGAGCCAAATAATCATTAACAATTATAGCATGAACTCCTTTGCCAGCCAATGCATTAAGAAACGATCCGAAACAAAAGATTTATGATGTTCCGCAATTAGTATGAAAGAAAGGATCAATTAGTATGAACAAGAAAAAAATAGCTCAATTTGTCAACTATATTACCTTGTAATTCCAGAAGGAAGTGAAAACAAAGTACATTTCAGTGAATATGCTGCCAAAGGGAAGCAATCCTCCCTTCATAGAAACTACGGATGGTGTCAAAAATGGAAAATATATATTATCAATAAACTGTCTAACTAATAATTGACAAACCAAGCAAAAATTTATTTACCTTCCTTCTTGTAGTGTATGGTCCAATACGCAGTTTGCACCCACGAGTCTGCTCCAAGGACTGCCAACACCAAACATACAAAAATGATAAAATAATATCAATGATCACTCCGAAATATTTCAATCCAAATAGCATTGCTATGTAGTAATCATAAACCATACCGTATCGAAAAGCATTCATATAAACGTGTCCGCACAGATAGATATGCATCATTAGACCTGACCAAGAATGTGGGCACTTGAGTACCAAAGAATATTACGTCCCTCGTTTGCTTCAAAATGAAATAGTTCAAGAAGAAAGATTCTATGAATTAGTGGTTGCAATCCATGAAACATACTATAAAGATATATGATAAAAGATATTTAATATTAATGAAAAACAAATTAACATAGCATGATAAACTTTAATCCAGTTCCCATCTTTGCAGCTTTATCAGGATCATAATTAAACACATTATCCACCATGTATGATTGATCGTCACCAGATATAGGATCACGATCATTGTACCCTTACAAAAACATTTGTTGGGTAGATTTCAGATTTGTATTTACTATCTACGTTTCTAGCACCAACTATTTCTCACAAAAGCTGATTAGTTCTTCATAGGTGATTGAACTTTGTCTTCTAATTTCCAATTATTCTAGCTTGTCTTTATTTATCCTCTCCAATAACTGAACAAAAACTATACGTAAAAGCAAAACTTTGTCTTCTAATTTCCAATTATTCTAGCTTGTCTTTATTTATCCTCTCCAATAACAGAACTAAAACAAAACGTAAAAGCAAATACATAACATGTACCATTTCCTCCTTGTATTTTACCAAATGCACTGATATCAAATTTGCCAGATAACTTGCCTTGTGCACCTGTTCAAACATGATAAATTATCTTCCTTCCATATTGTAGTCATCTCCAGTGCATAATATAAAACAATAATCTATCATCATTTACCTGTGATAGCAATTGCCTTCACGCAATCTCCTCTGAAAGCTTGATCATAACTCTCTTTTTAAGTTGTTTAATACTCGAGAAAGGAACAAAAAGGAAGTTAAGAAAATGTTTGGGTGAACGAGAGAAATTAATCACTAACTGCGATCCCAGCCTATATACTGAGTATCTCTCTATGCCCAGCCCCTGATCTCTTTTGTGTGTAGATGCATGCTTGTGCACATTCTACTTTAGTCGTTGGAAGCAAGGAAAGTTTTTCACAAGTTGTGGCCCTATGATTTTCTTTGGGTTTTGTACAGGGTAAGTGTGTTTTGGGGGTGGGGAATTTACCATCTCCATAGATAGCAATATGAGATCAAATTAATAGATATTAATTGTTATTAGCGTTTTCAAGATGCTAACATTCATGAAGAAATCCATCTACGTGAACACAAATTTATTATAACTTTATAACTCAAGGATTCATACCATAATATTAGAACAGAAGACAGAAAAACAACAATCAATCAAAAATTTCAAATGATCAGCCTTGCCATCACATATAATCTAAATATAACATTTCAGCACTATCCAAGAAGAAATTATTTACTTTCAAAAAATCAAGATGAGAACATCTGAATGACCAATAGTAGTAAGGAAGAGAAGTTCGGGAATTCTAAAATTAACTTCTGGGAAATAGCATTATTTCTCAAGATACCCTAGAAGTGAAAAAATAAAGCCGTTGTAACAGACCTTTGACTCCTCGTCCCTGATTGAATGGAGTCGAAATCTGCCCTTGGTGTCATAGAGGAGACAGAGGTTCTCATTTACAATTGAGACAACATCTGGACATGAAAGGCATCAATTAACCATAAGGAACTCGCTCTTGTACCATTTACTGTCATTACATAACCAGTATTAAAACAGAGGATAAGGAAAGGAACCAAACACGACACATACCCATGAAGCCAGCAGGATAAGTCTCATCTGTTCGAACCTTCCCTTGGACCAAAACAGTTGTATTAAAATGGTTCCGATAAAAATAATAATAATTAAATCCGATGAAAAAAAATGGCAATTACTATACCAGAAGAAGAAATATACACATGGCTACATAGTTATTCACTTAAATGCTCCGCCAAGCTTGGAGTCAAGCATCCAATGCTTTGGAGCATTGAGTCTCTTCAAATGTTACTTCAATCCTCCCGCCTGCATAGATAAAAAAAATAAAACTTAGTAATCAAACAACTGCATCCCAAGTCAACTATCCAGTAGTATGACCACTAAGTAAATTGGACACAAGATATAAGAACAAATTCTAAGGCAGGTGTCTATCAGTTTGTAGCTTTAATATGGTCTGAATACAAATGGGACACTGTTAAGTCTGTAACTCCAAGAACACACATTTAACATAGAAAGGTCAACGTAAGTACCTAAGCTGAATTTTACTTTTGAAACAAGTTAGCAGATAACAAATTAAAGTTGGAATTGCTTCATGTTACTCAAATTGTAATTTTAATGTATCGAAGTCTTGAAGAAATTTAAGACTAACTGTTAAACAAAATAAATTAAAAGTTCTGTCGTTATGTGCTAATAATCAAGATGATACTTTGAAAGTCTAATGAACTCTACATCTTGAAAACAAGGTATCTTGTTACCTAGAATTGAATAATCCACGTGCATAGAATATAATAGTTAAAGGAAGGAAGCAGAATTAAATATAGAGAAAAGGCCAACATATGAAGATCCAGCAACCTCAAACCTCACCTGAAGAATGCAATAAGCAGGTAAACCTATGCTTATGACCTTGCCACTTCCTTTCTTATTCTTAGCTTCCTCAATATCTTTTAGGGTTATTATCCCTTTAGAAACCATAATTTCCCCATGGCGTTGACACTCCTTGAATAAGGAATCAGCTAACTACAACAATCATATTGCTCATCAGCGCCAATTCAAGTAATACATGTTAAATCACATATTGCAATTGCTTCACAAACTATTATTTGCTAAGGTGTATTAGAAGCATTAGACAGCATTAAGATAGAAAAAGAAGCTAAAATTCATTATACTGTCCAGTAAGCATATCTCGAGGGGCTTCAACTCAATCATAGGTGCAGGAAAAGAAGTTGTAAATGAAGGTGCCTTTTTGAAAGAGCTGGGCCTTGGTAAAGAAGCAGAACGGGAGCTCGTTCATGATGGAGCCTTCTTTGTGTAACGTGGTCTGCAGGAATGGCACAAAGGCAATGTCATCACGTGTAGCCTATTATAAATTGATGTTCTGAAAGAATAATGTGTACTAAGATTCAAGGCAAAAGTCGAACCTAGGTAAGCAGGATCCTTCAGGCATGTCCAGAACATATATTCGTCATAAATGGACAATGAAGCGACAATATAACAAAGTCCAAACCAAATAGAGCGCTCCTACCATCAAAACCCAACAACAAAAGTTTAACAGTAGCAAAAGCGAATGAAATGATTTTATATTCCTGGTCCTATCGTTCTCCAATAACATTTTCCCTTGTAATCTTATAGCCACGATTACAAAGAATCCAAAATCAACCCCCCACCCTCGCCAACCCTCAATACACACATAACCCTACCTCATTTTTCATGTCATAAAATTCACGAGCCTAAATTTAATCTCATATTCCTCTTTACCATTTCCTCTAAATCAAAGCACACACCACCAACAATGATCCTGTAGGTACCCGCATTTGGCTCGGAACCCCAACTTGCATATGAACCAACACGTTATACCCATCTGTAACTTTACTTTCTTTACACAAGTAATCAATTTATTATACATAACGAAAAGCATCATCTTGCTTTGGCAGTTGAAAGTCCACCAAAGGCTGGGAAGCAACAAAGTATTAAAATCTATATAATTAAAATAGAACCAAAACCAAGAAATAAATCCGACATGCCCACAAAATCCAGATCAAATTAAATACAGAGTTACCAATCTGACGGTGACGCCGGAGGCGGGAGACGCCGGAAGTGCGGAGACCGGCGCTGAGCGGCTGTTCGAGCCTGTCTTCCGATTTGGGAACACCGATAATCTCATCGGAGACCGTCCTCAGTCCCGGCGATGACCGTAAGGTACGAAGCCTCCGCCGCTGAATCTGACTATTGTACGGTGGCCCCAGTCGATCCATCTGATTAAGACGACGAATCCTTCTATTCTCTTCCTCCTCGTAGTCTTCCTCATAACTGTCATCCTTGCAATCCGCATCTCCACGTCCAGTCTCCACTCTCTGTTACTTCCAGCAGCTCTCCCATGGTGAAGAGATGAAGAAAGAGAGGAGAGAACCAAAGAAATAAGGTAGTGAGAAAGCCCTAAAACAATGAGGTCGCGAAATGAAAAACAAAACAGAAAAACGGCGTCGTTTTGTACGAGATAAGGTTTCTACAGTGATAAAGGATAAGGTTTCTACAGTGATCAAAAACTTCACTCTTTTTATATATGTTAGAAAAACGGCGTCGTTTTGTACGAGATAAGGTTTCTACAGTGATAAAGGATAAGGTTTCTACAGTGATCAAAAACTTCACTCTTTTTATATATGTTAGATATATGTTAGAAAACATCTACTGCCAAAAATCTGGACATGGTCTTCAAGTGATCTGTCAAGGAGAAAGAAACATGCAAGCAACGTGCAATGCACGTTTGCTTAGTTTATATTTAATAGTTTTGTTTAAAAATTAATTTGTTATTAATAAAGATATAATTTTTTTGGTTAATTAAATAATTAATGATGTAATATTTATGTAATTGATAAATAATTAAATAAAGTGTTTCTCTCTGTTATCTCCAACCCAAAATCATAAACAGAAAACCCAAGGTATGTTAAGGGGTAAGAAAATGAGTTTACTTTAAGTCTTTACTCTTTTTTAAGTCTTTACTCTTTTTTAAGTAACTAGTCAAAGCCCGTGCAATGCACGGGCTGCGATATTTTTGAAGGTTTTGTTAGAGTCAAAAAATGAACAAGTACTTTAAATAATTGTCACAACAAAAGAGAATACCCATCACTCAAATGATATTGAGAACTTGTAGAACCATGGAAACCATAAAATTGTCTTGTACTCAGCCTAGAACACTTGGACCATATGTTAGTGATGAACTCTAGTGATTTATTGAGGCGAGTAAACAATTTGGTAGTACTACTGATTTTGTTGCAAACAATACACACTAAAAAGCACCTATAATCAAGACTTTGACAACAGTATAAAAAAAATACCAAAGATGCTAAATTACTACACAATCACATGGTAAACACTGAACTTCATCTAGAGCCCGAGTAGGATCCTTGTTCTAACCTGAAGCTCCAACTTCATTGTTTCAGCCTTGAGTTTCAGATTTGTCTGCAGCTGGAGTACATTCTGTGTTCCAGCCTGGAGTTCTAGCTTCATCTCGACGGTATGTTTTCCAGCCTTGAGTTCCAGATACGTCCGCAGCCAAAGTTCAGCTTCTTCTAGAACTGGAGTACAATCCGGGGCCCAGCGTGGAGTTTCAGCTTCACCTGGAACAGGCGTACAATCCTGTTTCCAGCCAAGAGTTCTAGCTTCACCTGAGGCAGAACCATGATCCTTATTTCAACCAGTACGAGTTTGCTGCCTTCTATAATACTTGGGAATAAAAGTTTCGGCCTTGTC